TTGTTCAAGTCTTTACAGGCCAAGGCTGAGGTCTAGTTGAGAAGAGGGTTCAGAGGAGCCTGGCTTGAATTTCATAAAGGAGAGAATCTTTGTCAGCTTCTTCAGCTTAGATAAAAGTGAAAAGAACATAATGCATTGTCGTGTGATGAGACTATGAGCCAGGTGCATCAGGAGCTTATGAGGTAGATACTCTTAATGTTATCCCCATAAAAAGGTTGAGGAATCTAAGGCTCAGAAAGGTTAAATCACCTGCCCAAGGTCAGGCAGCCAGAGGTAGCAACTGGAACCTAGGTCTCACTGGTTCCAGAGTTCATAGGCCCATTCTATGCCTATAGGCTCTGACCACCCACAAATGCCCTTCCTGCCAGTGTCACTGGTCCAGACTATTGAGTCTGGATAAATGCGTGGTGCAGGGCAGTGGTTCTCAGCTCTGGCTGCTCAGTGGAATCACCTGGGGACCTTTAAAAGTACTGATGCTTGGGTTCCACCCCCAGAAGTGCTGGTGCAATTGGTCTGGGGTGCAGCCTGGACACTGGGATTTTTAGAAGCTCCCAGGTGATCCCTATGAACAGCCAGGTTTGAGATTTGGATAATCACTGTGTGCTAGAAGCCTTCACAGTGATCATCCCATGTGATCCTTGCAAGAGCCCTGTGAGGAAGGCAGGCAGGCAGGCAGGTGGCAATGACCGTGTCCTGATGATGAGGAAACAAGCTCAGAGAGGCTAAGGCTCATATAGTTAATAACATCTGGGGATGGAATCAAGTTTGTTGACCTCCAGCTCTGAGTTCTCTGCCAAAGGTTACTGCTCTTCAGAGGTCTAATTGAGAGGGAAAAAGCAATGTCTCCAAGAACAGAAATGAGCAGCTTACTTTCTCTTGCAAGTTAAAAGTCATTTCTCACCCCCACTGAACACGTGGAGGAAGGGATAGTACTTGCCTCAGCCACAGGACCCAAAACGAGGCCAAGGGATCCCAGACAGGTGAGCAGTGGCCAACCCTCCCTGGCAGTGTACCATCGGCAGAAGTCAAGGCTGGGCCGGAGCAAGAAGGCCTGCAGTTCTCTGATAGTGCTGCTTCCCACGCCCACGTTCCTGCAGTGGGTGGTGATCCTTGCTACCAGGCACCTGCTGGGAACTGGGCACAGCCGAAGGAAGTCAGGGACCCGTTACTGTGCCAGGCAGTGAGGGTCCTGCTGCAGTCTCCAGAACCGCTCTCCCACCCCACCCCCACGCCCACTGCGCCCACGAGCCTGGTCTGGAGGGGAGGGGGCACTGCCCACCTTTGGGAGACCTGGGGGACGTCGCTGCTCACATCTAACAGGCGTCACTCCCCACAACTGGGGGACGTCAAGTGTTCCCAGTTGTGGGCAGTTGAGAGAGCACCGTCCACAGCTGGGGCCAGCAAAGCACCACTGTACGTATCTGGAAGGGCTTAGGCTCACCTCAGCCTCGAAGATGCCCCGGGGGGCGCCAGCAGCTTCAGGAAATGGCCTCAGGAAATGCGACTCCAGCACGGTAGAGGGCCCCTACCCACTCCAAACCCCTCAAAAACGCAACAATCCGAGGCATGCCTCAGGGCGCATCCGGGACATAACCAGAGGGCGGCCACACCCCCAGGGAGAGGCCGGGTGGGGACAGCAGGGCGCTGCCCTCCCAGCCCAACCCCTCGGGGCAGGGTTCCCGCCGACGCTGCCCTCCAGGCAACCTGATCTTCGAGCCAGCCGGACCCACGGACCCGCGCAAGGGAAAAGGGACAGCCCCGGGGTGGCGGGGCGGCCGTCGGAAGGCGCCCTCCACTCCGAAGCCGTCTTCCAAGCCCCCCAACATGGCCCGGGGCGGCAGTCAGAACTGGAGTTCCGGGTACTCAGACTGCAGGCCGGAGGAACAGGCGACCGGGTGAGCCACGAGGTCGCGCCGGGCCGGGGCGTCGGGGGTCCGGGCCGCTAACCCACCGCAGTGCCCCAGCCAGTCAGCTCCAGGCGCCGCCGGAACCTCCGCGAAGGTTCTGGGCCTTTGTGGCGTCACTGTCTCCTTGCGGAACCTTCCGCCGGCGCCGAATAAAACCCGCCGCGGAGGAGCCGGCGGCTCGAGTGCGGCGGGTCTAGGAGAGGAGGGTATCCTGGCGCAGGCGGGAGGGAGCCCCGGGCGGCGGCGGCGGCGGCGGCGGCGGCAGCGGCAGCGGCAGCAGCCGTGACCGTGACCCGCGGGCGGGCGGCGGGGGCGCGGGCCAGGGGCCCGGCTGGGGCGTCCGGGGCGCGCTGACCGTCCTGCCCGCCCCGCCCCGCAGAGAAAAGATGGTGAAGGAGACCCAGTACTATGACATCCTGGGGGTGAAGCCCAGCGCCTCCCCGGAGGAGATCAAGAAGGCCTATCGGAAGCTGGCGCTCAAGTACCACCCGGACAAGAACCCGGATGAGGGCGAGAAGGTGCGGGCCGGGCTCGCGCGGGGCCCGCCGTCAATTATTCAGCCCGGAGCTCGGGGGCTGTGAATTATTGAAGGCGGCGGGAACCCGAGCCGCGTTTGTTGGAGAGGCGGTCGCCAGGTGCCGCGCACCACGCCGCGGGGCCGGGCCGGGGCTGGGGGTGGTCCGAGGCGGAGGGGGCGCGGCGCGGTCAGTTGGAGGGCGCTTCGCCGAGCCCCAGCGTCGCCGGGCTGAGCATCTGGGCTGGTGCCGGGGCCCGAGGCGCCGGGACCCCTCGTGAGGCCCCGCGCAGCCCATTCATTCCTCCCTTCGCTCCACAAGGGCCCCTCCGGACGCCGGGGAGGGCCGGGACTGAAACGTGGGGGCCCAGTTCTCCTAGGGTTTGCGGGCATTCCTGTCGGAAAGGCAGCCAGCAAGCCGGGAAACTGAGGCACACGCGACCAGAAGAAGTTGTGTACTTGCTGGGGACGACCGGGGTTGAATTATTTTTGTGCTCATATTCCCTGTTGATGCATAAGCCCTAGAGGTGAGTTTCTTTAATCTGAGTTAGTACCTTGGACAAACCCGGTGTCCTTCTTGAGACTGGATTTGTTCTGTGTGCCTGTCTCCTGCCTGATCAAGGTTGTCAGACATTGAATAATCACCTTTTCTTTATTAAACAGGGACATGGAGATCTTTAACCTGACACATCATTTTATATGAACATTACAGGTTTCCTGTGACAAATGACCCGCAGTGGATCCTAAGTACCAATAATAATAGGCTGAAAAATGCTCTGTATCATAGAAGCCTAAATTAAACTTTTTCATCCAGTTCACAGGAAAAGAGTCAACCTGTTTTTTATGCCTAAGGAAGCTCATTACCCACCAGAATAGGTGATTAGAAAGATCAGGCATTGATCCTTGGGAAAGCTTGTTGGCCTTCCCACTCCTCCTTTGACTTCTTGCCATTTTCTTATAAAACTTGGGATATCCTGGATGGCTTTTGGGAGGTGGGGCTTTTGTGGTAGCTGATAGCAGTGACACCTGGGCCACTTTTGAAGCCATAGATTACCTGTCTAGCATTAGACTCGTGGAAACGCGTGTAGTATCAAAATACCTGTCTGTGTTAGCTTTTCCAAGCTGGAGAAACCTGCCTAAAGAAGGTTGGCTGGGTGGCAACAGTGATAGGATATTTATATTTAGCCACAGGTGCCGAGTGTCGCTGTCACAAGTTTAAAATGCTTTCCTGGAAGACCATTTGTCTGTTACTCGTGTTCTTTCTCATCTATATTTAGGTGGCTTACTGTAGCTTTTAAAGTCACTGGCTTTCTACGTGGTGTTGGTGATTCATAGATGTGCTCCCTAAATTCACTGTAGGCTGTTTCTATGAGTAGCCTTTAAGGAGAGCGCACCCAGGCTTCTAATTTCACGTTTCAGAGGCGGCACATGGGAAAGCCTTCTGACCCTGGTTCAGGTCAGATCTCTCCAAGAGTAAGTCATGGCTGTGTGCCATTGGAGTGAGTCTGCTCTTGGTGTTCTGAAGCTTTTTTTAAATTGGACTTAACCTGTACTACATTTCTGTAGGTGTTGCCCTGCATGTACCTGCCTGGGCAGAGGTGGTTGATTTGTTTTAAACTAATATTTATTTATAGCCAGATACTGAATTAGTGTCACTTAAGTGAGGCTCCTGAAGTGTCTGGCGGGTCCCTTTCAACTTAGAGGTGGGGGGTTCTGTGATGTTCCAGGAATACTTTTCCCTTCCCACCTTCCATGAAGGGGATAAAACCCTTTAATTTAGTTCTCAGCTAGAACTTCTTCCGACCTCTGACCATAGGCTGAACCACTGGTCTGGTCCTCATCCTCATTTAATTATGATTCCTTGTTTGCTACCTGTGTTCCGTAGAAACGAAAGGGTTTGAGGAGACTGGGGACACAATTTATAGAAACTGCTGTAAAGTTCCCTAGAGAGGATTCATTCATTCATTCACTCACCAGATACCTCCATTTTGGTCCTGCTGTGTGCTGGGCACACTGTGTAGGCCTTTTCTTTTTTGTGCAAGTTTGTGTGTAGTTCTTGTCCACTTTATCTATTCATAGGTGGAACCTTTTAATTTTTTTCCCCCAAGTTTGTCACTTTATTAATGTCTCTTCAAAAACAGACTGAGCCAGTCTGTTCCCCCTTGCTCCGGGGCAACTGAGAAGGCTATTAGGGTGTTGGTCTTTGTTTTGTGGCCTGTTGTCCTGTGTTGCTAAGCATTGGGCGGCCAGTGTTTGTTGTCAGGTGTTCTGTATGGAGTCTCTACTTTTCTGCAGCTGGTTTTCTGAAAGACACACGGGCAGCGGGTCAGTAAGCGAGTCCCTTTCAGGGGTCGTGATAGGGGGTATGTTCTTGGCTATTAACCCCAGCCAGCTTTTGAGATGAGTTTGGTCTTTTGGCCAATTTTACTGTAACTTTTTTTTTTTTTTTTTGCAGTACACGGGCCTCTCACTGCTGTGGCCTCTCCCATTGCGGAGCACAGGCTCCGGACGCACAGGCTCAGCGGCCATGGCTCACGGGCCCAGCCGCTGCGCGGCATGTGGTATCTTCCCAGACTGGGGCACGAACCCGTGTCCCCTGCATCGGCAGGCGGACTCTCAACCACTGCGCCACCAGGGAAGCCCTACTGTAACTTTTAGTTTGAATAATAGATTTTTAAGTTAAAAAATCATAAAAGAGAGCATAACAGTGCAGAAAATTTCAGAATATTGAGGAAAACCCACCAAGTACACATCACTCTAACTGCTGTCCCTGTGTTTCTTTCCAGGCTTTCTCCAGGGTGATTGTACATGGTCATCCTGGCACACAGGGTTTTTTTTTTTCCTCGCTACTGAATATTTTATAGTAAATACTTTCCCCAGTTGCTACATAGTCTCCAAAGCCATTTTTCCAGCTGCGTAATGATCTTATTAAAGGAACTGTGGCACATTATTACAGTCTGAAAGGTGAGCTGGTCAGAGTACTAGTCTCCAACTGTGAGATGGGTGAGGGTCAGGCAGGGACTGAATTAGACTCTGGAGTGCTGAGACCCCACCCCCACCCCCAGGGTAGTGGGAGTCCCGCCCCTTTGTGAGGTCTGGCCTCTGGTTGAATGCTCCAAGTGACAGGGCATTACTTTTCCTTTTTAGATCAATCATCCCGTTCTGCTAAGTGCAAAAGTCTTTCAATTATCCAGAGTGTTTCTAATGGACATTCTCTTGAAGCATGTTTACCTAGTACAGACAGGCCCAGAGACTCCCTGGGGGCAGCCTGGCCTGGTTGTTTTCTGATCTTCCTTACCGGGCACCTAATCCCTACACCTTATTTTCCTTCTGTGGAAAGGAGTGGTGGTGAACGATACCTACTTCTTTACAGAAATGGTGGGAGAATCAACGCACCAAAAGACCTAACTACCTTGAGTATGATTCTGATGTCTCTAAGACAGTTTTTTAAATTACCCAGTTGTTAGCTATTATTTATTAGGTATCATTTATTATTTATTAGTTACTCATTAGATCTCTATTGGGGATCTGTAGTACAAGAGAAAAACTAGTGTCTGTCAGTTTCCATATTTGTATATTCAAAGTACTTTTTTTTTCCTGTATGTTCTGTACTTTTTTTTTTCTTCCTAAACCATTCCCCTGGAGGGCGAAGACCCTATCTCACTTCTTCATTTCTCAATTCCCAGAATTGAGCCATTCATATAACAAGTATTTACCAGGTACCTTCTACAGGCCAGACAGTGTTCTAGGTTTGGGGATATGGCAGTGGACAAAGCTGACCTAACCACCTGTCCTCATGGAGCTGACACTGCAGTGGGGACACCATCCCAGCAGTAAGTGCTCTGGTATTGGGGAACAGCAAGGAGGCCAATGGCACACGAGCAGAATTGCGGGGAGCTGGAGGCAAAAGTGTCAGTTTGGGCTTGTAGACCAGAATAAGAACTGGCTTTTGCTCCAAGTGAGCCGGGCCCCTTGGAGGGCTTGGGGCAGAGGACTGACATGATTGGCTGGCAAGTTCTGGCTGCTGTGCAGAGAACAGACTGAAAGCTGAGGTGAAGGCGGAAGATGGGAGTCCAGTGAGGAGGTCACTGTGGCTATCCAGGCCAAGGAGGGTGTCCTCCGCCAGGGCGGGCGTGGTGGTGATAGTGGTGAGAAGGAATGGATTTTGGATATTTTATATGGTGTTTTGATTTTATGTTAAAAACTTCCATATATCTGCAGAAAAGGTGAGAGTCGTACAATGAACACCTGCCTTTCTTTCACCTACCTTCACTGATTATAAATAGGTCATCACATTTGCTTTCCCTATATTATTATTATTTGCTAAAGCTTTTGAGGGTAAGTTGCGTACATCATAACCTTTCAGCCCTAAATGTTTATCCTTGGGAAAACAACATCCTTGTACATAACCACAGTACATTTATCAAATTTAAGAAGTTTAACATTGAGAAAAACATTCCCATTTTTCTAGTTGTTCCAGTGTCCTTTGTAGCAATTTTTTCCCCAGTGCAAGATCCAGTCCAGGATCCAATCCAGGGTCACACACTGCATTTAGTTTTCCTGTCTTTTAGTTTTGCAGAATATACTTCAGTTTGGGTTTTCTGATTCTTTTCTCACAGTTGGATTCCAGGATACATTTTTGGCAGTCATGTGACACATGGGGTGTTCTGTCTTAGGGTACTGGAGATGGACATTTGAAGGTAGCACCAGAAGGATTTGTTGACAGATAAGATGTGAGGGAGAGGAAATGAGGTTTTGGAATTGCCAATAAGTGAGCTATGGGGGAGACTATGGGAGGGGCAGGACTTTGGGGGGGAGATCAGGACAGATTTGCTCACAGTGTCTGCAGCCTGCATGTGGATGGATGCTCACAGGATGTCTGTAGTTGCATTTTATGCTAGTAACCTAGGAAAGCAGCAGTCATGGGCTTTATCCAGTTGTAGGTTAAGCCCTGGCCTGGTCTCACTATATCTTAGCTCCATTCTACTTCTTCCTGTCTGGTGCAGCCTGAGGAGGGAGAAACTCCTCCTTACTGCTCTGTATCCTTATTCTCTGCAGTGGCCCTGCCTCTCATCCCTTAGTAATGTTTGCCCTATGTATTCCACTCTACAAAGGGATTAAATGGAAAAGTCAGGTTTCAGATAACATATAGACCTGCTAGTTTGGGGGGTTGGGTGTAGAATCCCTCTGTCATTGCATTTATATGGTGGGTTTGCTTCATGAACAACTCAAACCTTCTCTTTTTAATCTCTCTTTTTTTCTTTTGAAGTTTAAGCTCATATCCCAGGCATATGAAGTGCTTTCAGATCCAAAGAAAAGGGACATTTATGACCAGGGCGGCGAGCAGGCAATTAAGGAAGGAGGCTCAGGCAGCCCCAGCTTCTCTTCCCCCATGGACATCTTTGACATGTTCTTTGGTGGCGGAGGACGGATGGCTAGAGAGAGAAGAGGTAACTGCTTTGAAAGACGTTAAGCAAGTTTTATAGTTTCCAAATTGTACGTGTTGCTGGAATCAGGACAGATCATGCCTTAAAAGGGTGTAGTTGTCATGTTTGGGGATCATTAGCTTTAGTTCATCGCTTGTTTAGTCTACCTGGAATCTCTTAGTGCATTTAGCAATTAATTGCCTGACACCTTCCCAACACCACATATAAAGGAGCAAATGGGGAATTCCCTGGTGATCCAGGGGTTAGGACTGGGTGCTTTCACTGCTGGGGCCTGTGTTCAGTCCCTGGTCAGGGAACTAAGATCCTGCAAATGGTGTGCCCCGCCCCGCCCCCTCCCACCGCAAAAAAAAGGAGCAAATGGCGGTAAGGAGAAAGGAGGAAGTTCAAGTTCATCTTGCCCTTTTTCTCTTTTGTTGGGGTCAGGTTCCGTTTATGTTCCTAAGGGACATAAATGGCACCTCCTGTGGTTATTAGTGATACCTCTGCCGAGAGTGCTCTTCTCCCCTCCTGCACGCTTCCTCCCATGCCTCCTGACTTGGGCCAGGGCCCGCGGGCTCTATTTCTGGCTGGTGCTCTGCCATGTGCAGTGTGGCCTCATTTTCTTAGCCTGCTCAGGAGATTTTCTAGGTAACAAAATTTACCCCTTGATGTTTGAACATCTTTGTAAAAGAAACTACTTTGCCTGTCTCTTCAGAATGCATTAGGACTAGCAGCTTCATCCCCAGAGGTGAATTGAGAGACTTAGCTATTGGTGAAATGGCCCCAGGCCCCCGTTTTTGAGTTCTGGGTTTGTTCTTCCTAATTTTTCTATACCTCTTACCTCCTGCCAGGCTCTGGACTGTCACCTCTGTTACCAGTGGTCTCTAATAGCCCCCTTCCCCTGTCCTGCTTACGGTTGATCCTCTGCTTTGGACCTCAAAACCAGATAGATAATCAAGCTTATTAAAATCCTGGGTGAAATCAAGATAAGCTCTGCATTGAGGTTTAAGAAGGGTGGTTTGAGGTCAACAAGAGGCCCCTGGATAAATAAGGCTGTACTTGTTCTCACATTATAATTGACTTTGAGCTTTGAAAAGCTTGGCTGTCAATTCTGTGAATACAGTGTGCTGAAAATCACAAAGGGTTTATTAGGGAAAAATCCTTACCCTGTTTTCTGGGTATGTTGCCTGCTCATATAATTGACAGTGTGGATGTGATTAAAACCTTGGGTATCCTCTTGCCTAGCTCTCTCACTGTCTTGAGGTGAACAACTTCACGCCCTTAATTAAGTCATCTCTCAAAGTTGACAGCCAATAAACAAGGACAGCATCTCGGTGACTTCGAGAGCCCTATGGGCAGCAGAGAGGGACCTGATGCTGTGGGTCCTGACAGGCTGGTATGGTGCCAGAGCAGACAGACTCCCACCCTGAAGATGAAAGGCCCACTGTCCTGGATGCACAGACAAGATTTCCACAGATGAAAGAGTTCCCACTTGGCCACAAGACACAGAAGGGCTCAAAAATTAAAGGACGTTATGTTCAAGGAAGAGTTTCAGTTAAAGGTCCAGAGACTGACTTCGTGCATCATCTATGAGGAAAGGGCTCCTTTCATGGGGAGAACCTAGTTAACCAATCTCATTGGTTAACATTGCCTTGGGTTTCCTCATTGATCTCTCATTCTCAGATTTGTTTTAGCAAATAAAGATGAAAGTCTTTGACATCTATAAATGATTGAATAATTAGCTCATAGCTAGAAAGGGTATTAGTTCTCATACTGGCAAAGGGCCAGAGGATGGGCCAGGTGTAACAGAAGCAAGCATTGCTTCCCACAGGGAAGGGAATGAATGACACAGGCACAGTCTGAGACTTCATACCACTAAAGGTCATATGGGTAGTATTTAATACAGTATTGCTAATTGGTCTTTTTTTTCCCTCGGTAAGGCAAGAACGTTGTACATCAGTTGTCTGTAACGCTGGAAGATTTGTATAATGGAGTCACAAAGAAATTGGCGCTCCAGAAAAATGTAATTTGTGAGAAATGTGAAGGTAAGAATTAATTTCTGAATGAGTCTCATAGTTTTGGTCCCTTAGATCTGGAAACAATTCTTACTGTTTTACAATTCAGGGAAAAATAATTTATCTTTTTAAATGTGAAGGTCAGAGATTGCAAACAGGTAGCCTGAGGGCCAAATCCATTTCATTTGGCCCTGTACATTTTTTATTTGGACTGCACATTTATTTAATATGTTGACAATTATTTTAAAAATATAAAAATCAAGAATGGTTGACCCAACCTAGGTGTCGGCAGACTTTTGCTGTAAAGGGCCAGATGATAGGTATTTCTGGGCTTCGTGAGCCATGCTGTCCCTGTCGTAACTATTCAACTCTTATCGCAAAAGGAGCCATCGGGCTTCCCTGGTGGCGCAGTGGTTGAGAGTCCGCCTGCCGATGCAGGGGACATGGGTTCGTGCCCTGGTCCGGGAAGATCCCACATGCCACGGAGCGGCTGGGCCCGTGAGCCATGGCCGCTGAGCCTGCGCTCTGCAACGGAAGAGTCCACAACAGTAAGAGGCCTGCATACTGCAAAAAACAAAAAAAAAAAAAGGAGCCATAGACCGTAAACAAGCAGATGACATACCTGTCCTTCCAATAAAGCTTTATTTACAAAACCAGTCAGCTGGCCATAGTTTGCTGTCCTTGATTTAAGTGTAAATGTAATTAACGTAATTTTTAAAAATCTGATTTTTCAAGAAAAGTCAGATCTGGTGACTTGGTCACACATTGTCCCACAGAGAAGTGGCTGGGCTGGGTAGCCACCCTTGTGGACAGGGCTGTTTCCTCCAGTCTCCACTGGTCACACGTAGGCATGTGTGTTCTTCCACCCTGGGGTGGAAGAAAACACATTTGGTGAAGTTAAAGCAATGAATTTATCTTGGTATAGCCAAACGCACAAATGTTTGCGCTTACATGTTAACATCTGGATATTGTCTGCTTGGCTAGAATCATCCAGGCTCTTCCACATGGCTTTTCATGATTGTAAATAGTCAGAATTCAAGCCCCAGTGTCCAGTTTCATGGCTCATGATCCTTCTCTGGTGGCACCCAGCAGAGACGCTTCTAAGGGAAGAGCACAGCCTTGTTCCTGTCTCCCCACAGGCGTTGGTGGGAAGAAGGGATCTGTGGAGAAGTGCCCAGTGTGCAAGGGGCGAGGGATGCAGATTCACATCCAGCAGATCGGGCCGGGCATGGTGCAGCAGATCCAGACCGTGTGCATCGAGTGCAAGGGCCAGGGCGAGCGCATCAACCCCAAGGACCGCTGTGAAAGCTGCAGTGGTGCCAAGGTCATCCGAGAGAAGAAGATTATCGAGGTGCACGTGGAAAAAGGTGAGTCTGTGCAGCAGTAGCGCCCCACGCTGGTGGACGTGCATCTGAGGTGCTGATTGTGGGGCACAAGGGTTAGGTATCGGGCAAATGAGACACAGCACAACTGGTATTTAAATGCCGTTAGAGTGTGCCGTCAGTTCTTCCAATTCCCAGGGCATCTTCCATTGACCCTCCCTGGCTTTTTTTCCATCCATGTCACCTGCCAAAGTTTTCTTGTTTACAAAACTTCTTTGTAAGGTTTTCCAATGCCCTGGAAGTCACTTAACCTTGATTTTGGTTAACTGCCCTCTCTTGCCCTTCTCAAACTATTACTTTAGAGTCACTGGGAGTGTTATTCCTAATGGCTTTTGTCGCTCATTGGCCGTAAAAGCTTATCTAAGTCTTCATAGCTGTATGTCCCTTTTCTCCACACATTTCCCCTCGGTTGCAGCAGATTCTCCCAAATCCAGCACCTTCCTCCTGCTGTTCATTTTGCCTGGGGCCATCATTTTAGGGTCTTTTTCCCTCTTAGTTGTTCCCCCTGATCATTCTGTGGCTTCCTAATCCAGCAAATGTATTTAGGTGAGAGACCAAAGTACACAAATCAACACCCAAACCAGCACACACGTGGAGGGACTGAACACTGTGCCTGTGTGCACAGAGACTTAGTAGAAGGCCCCCAGAGCCCAGTGCTGCTTGTGCGTCAAGAAGCAGGCGGTGACCTTCTGCTCACAGTGCACTGTCAGCTGCGGCATCGCATGGCCAGGAGGGCGGGGAGTGCGCGGTGAACTTGCGATGTGGCGGCCTTGTTTCCCACTCTCCCTGCTGCACACTTGGCTGAGGAACCTCGTTATGCCGAGGAGAGTGAGGCCTCTTGGTCAGTGGTAATCCCAGCCCCAGGCCTGCACGAGGTTGGGAGGTTTGATGAATAAAGAACCCCCAAAGGGCTCTCTGTGAGCCTTCTTCAAAAGCTTTGTCGGAAGTACGGTTTTAAAGAGAAGTGGCTAATCAGAAAGGGATGATGTTTCATAGGTATGAAAGATGGGCAAAAGATACTGTTTCATGGAGAAGGAGATCAGGAGCCTGAGCTGGAGCCTGGTGATGTCATAATTGTGCTTGATCAGAAGGATCATAGTGTCTTTCAGAGACGAGGCCATGACTTGATCATGAAAATGAAAATTCAGCTTTCTGAAGCCCTTTGTGGCTTCAAGAAGATGATAAAAACACTGGATGATCGAGTCCTTATTATTACATCCAAATCAGGTAATGTTTCACATGTGTTTCGTTGTAGTTCTTCTGTATGTTTGGCATAATGATGCTGGCAGCTTGGCCTGGTTTCACATTCAAGGTTGACTTCTGTTGCACAAGTTAGTGTGACTTGATTTTCTCTAAATTTAAAGTCATCACTAGGGACTTTTGAGAATTTTATGAATTTCTTTTATAATCTCCATGAAAAAAATTCAGTTTTGGGGAAAGGGCCTCAAAACAGGAATCTTGGGGATCTAAACTTCTACCTGGAACCTTCCAATTTAACTTAAATTTTTTTAAAAATTAACTTTTTTTTTTTTTTTTTTTTGCGGTACGCGGGCCTCTCACTGTCGTGGCCTCTCCCGCTGCAGAGCACGGGCTCCGGACGCGCAGGCTCAATGGCCATGGCTCACGGGCCCAGCTGCTCCACGGCATGTGGGATCCTCCCAGACTGGGGCACGAACCCGTGTCCCCTGCATCGGCAGGCGGACTCTCAACCACTGCACCACCAGGGAAGCCCTAAAAATTAACTTTCGTATAATAATACACACCTGATAATAGGTGGTGTTTTTCTATCAAATGGTGATCTGTGCTGATTCATCCATGTTTCTCTAGCCTCTGTGTTGTCGATTACATACGAGAGACATTTTAAAATAGAATTTTCCTGAAAAAAAAAGACATCGCCTGCCAGCTTATCCTTGGCGGCTTCTAGAGAACCGCCCGTCTGCACACAGGCACAGGAGCTTGAGGGAGCTGCCTCTGGACCCAAAGGGTTCGCAAAGGCCTGAGAGCTCAGCCTACCAGCACGTGTGTAGATGCCAGGCTCCCAGCTCCCAGGAGGGCTAGCGTTCACTGCAGTTGAGTCCATGCCTGGAAGGGGCTGTGAGGAGGCCAGGCAAATTGGAGAAGGGAGAGAGGCCAGGCTGGGGCCCTCGACTTGAAGCTGCCTCCGAATAGCACTTCAGGTCAGTTGTCCATGTCAAAGAATGTCTGGACAGGTGCGGTGGTGGCTGAGCCACCCAGACATCCGTGACCCCATCACTGGCCATGAGCAGTGCCGCTCTGGTCCCCTCGCTGGCCACAGGGTTAGGGAGTGACTTCTCCTGTGGGTATCTGAGGCTTAGGCTACAGGGATAGGCTCAGAGCTGGGATGGGAGGTAACCAGCCAATAAGCCTGTCCAAGGGCAGTGTAATTAAGACCCTAAGTCCAGTAGAGTGAGCCACCTTGCCTCCCCAGCCTCCATCCAGGGCTTTCCTGCCTCTGTGTCCATTTCTCTCTTCCCCTTTCTGGCCTGTTCTCTTTCTCTGCCACTTTCCTCTTTGGCTTTTTCTGTTTCCTCTTTTCTGGGTATAAGTGAAATGGAATTATATATCCAAGTCTTGATCAGAGGTTTGTTTTGGGTTTTTTTGCTTTTGTTTTTTACTTTTTATTTGGAAACAATTTCAGACTAACAAAAAGTTGTAAAAAATAAAAACAGTATGAAGACCACGCATATATGATTTGCCTATTGTTAAAATTTTACCCTGTTTGATTTTTCATTTCTGTGTTTGTGTATAGGTATACTTAAGGATTGTGGAAAAGCACTGCAGTATAATGAAAATATGCATGAAAATTTAAAATACAGCACCTTCCTTTAGATTCCATTCTGTAAGCCTCCCAAGGTACCCAATTCCTCCCCTCACTTCTGTAGGAAAGTTTGGGGATCATAGTTCACACAAAGCCCTAGGCCACAGGCTGTGAGAGGGTGTGTGCCCAAGACCCCTGGTATCATGTCCAAGACCCCCAACATTGTCTCAGACCTGATTCCAGTCCTTCGGGGAGCATGAGCTGGGCAGCATCTTTGGGGTGCTGTGTAACTTCTTTGCGAAAGCTAGTCCTTGGCCAAGCTCCCTGGAGCAGGGGCCCCTGCCATGGGATTGGAACCCAGTGTTCCTTGCTGCCTCCCAGCTGATCCCAGCCACAGGGAAACTGGGAGCCAAGGACGAAAGAGAGGAAGTGAGCCCCAGAGGGAAGGAAGTCGTAAACCCCGAGAAACCCATTTCCTTGCTTAGTTATAAGGAAGGGCAGGATGTCCAGAAAACCTTCTGCTGGAGATTTCTCTTGTGCTTTTTCTTTTTGCTCATTTATCTTGTTTTGAGTCCTTTTCTTTCACCTCTTTTCTTGTTTTGGCTTATTTCTCTTTCCTTCATTTCCTCTTCTCTCTTCTGCTGCTGAAGTGCCTTCCTCGCCAGAGGCCTTTAGGCTGTCTTGAGCATGGCTGAGAATCAGGAGATTAAAGAAAAAAGTGCCTTAAGAGCTTCGCCAGGGTGTGATCCCCCTGACTGAAGGCAGATATGTACCTCACGGAAGAGCTGGCTCATCATCTCTTTCCTTCTCTTACACGTGGTTGCCCATGCTTGGTCCCACAGTTTCCCTGCCCCACGGTGAGTTAGAAGCAGAAGCCTGAGGAGTTGTGCTGAGAGCAACAAGAAGTGTGACACCTGACAGGAGCAAAGAGACAGAAAAGCTATTAAAAACAAAGCAAAGACCATAACAAGCCCAGCAGCCTGGGGCCATTTAGCTAATGGGCTCCTCCTGCAATCAGCAGCTCTGAGGGCCACATGTGAATCACAGCCCTGCACTGAATGACCCCCAAGGAGAGAGTCCTCCACACCCTTTATTTTAAAAACTCCGATGAGATACTTTAAAAGATTTCCTCTTGGGGCTTCCCTGGTGGTGCAGTGGTTGAGAGTCCGCGTGCCGATGCATGTGCCCCGGTCCGGGAAGATCCCACATGCCGCGGAGTGGCTGGGCCCGTGGGCCATGGCCGCTGAGCCTGCGCGTCCGGAGCCTATGCTCCGCAACGGGAGAGGCCACAACAGTGAGAGCCCCGCCTACCGCAAAAAAACAAAAAAAAGATTTCCTCTTGAGAGAGTTCATCCAGGGGAGTGGGATGCTGAATTAATGAGTGTTTGGGCTCCCCCCAACCATTTTTTATGAACATTTGTTTCTTTGTCCATTTTCATTACTGAGCTGAAGAACATACTTTTTAAAGAGACCCTTTTATCCCTTTTCTTTTCATGTTTGGAAGGAAATGATATTTTTAGATTTGGGGGCGAACCAAGAGCTCTGGGGGGACTAAACTCCCACAATGCCTTTTGAAAAAGTGTAGAATTAAGATCCAGCAAGTGCAAGCCAGACCAGCTCCAGCCCACCAGCTCATGGAGACTGCCTGTGGCCGGAGCCACCTTGTGAGCCCCCCACCCAGAAGGCTGGCTCTCCTGCCAGGTGGGATCTGGCTGGACTCTTTGAGGCCCATTCCTGCTCCAAGCTCTGCTTGAGTCTGTGAGGAGCACACTCTCCTCCCACTCATGGGAAGGTTGTAGTGACAGCCTGACGCAAGAGGCAGGCTGACAGGTATCACCCCTGTTTACCCGGACTGAGTGTTGACTCCCAGTTCACTTTTTTAAACCAACCTTATGATGGAGGCTTCAGCCCGCTCCTCCTTGGATACACTGCAGGAGCCCAGTGCGTGGGTCAGAGAGGGTTCCACTCCCGCCCCCCTCCCTCTCATCCCCCTCACCCAGCCGGTTCCTCTGACAAGCATCATTCTGGTCGGGACCAGCTTTTTAGTCAGATGCCCTGTGACCCCTGCCTTTGCCTGCTGCTGTGGGGGTGATGGTGTCTGCCCCAGGCTCTCCCAACACGGGGACTGACCTCTCCAGGCTGCCCTCCATCTTCCTGTTTCATAAGTAAACCTTCTCTGCGGCAGGTGAGGTGGTAAAGCACGGGGACCTGAAATGTGTGCGTAATGAAGGAATGCCAATCTACAAAGCACCCCTGGAGAAAGGGGCTCTGATCATACAGTTTTTAGTAAGTGCATGTGTTTTATTCTCATGGGACATATAATTAAATGCCTTAATTGGGAAGGGAAGAAACAACTGCTCTTTCCCACCTCACCCTTTACAGGTTATTTTTCCTGAAAAACACTGGCTGTCTCAAGACAACCTTCTCCAGCTGGAAGCTCTGCTCCCTCCTCGACAGAAAGTCAGGATTACAGATGACATGGATCAGGTGGAGCTGAAGGAGTTTAATCCCAATGAGCAGAACTGGCGCCAGCACAGGGAGGCCTACGAGGAGGATGATGACGGGCCCCGGGCCGGAGTGCAGTGCCAGACGGCATGATGTGGCCCGGTGCAGCGTGGCCCGGCCGGACTAGCACGTGATGAATGTAAAGTTGGCACAATGAAAATGGCATCGCTTTAATGGCCTCGTGTTTGGGGTGTCCTGTGTATGTGTTCAGCATTCTCAACTGCTGAGTGTCCTTTTGGTTTTTCTTTTTTTTTCTTTTGGTTGTAACTTAAGTTATAGCTTAATTTATATTTAAATGTTTTAAGTGTAAATCACTCTAGTCTGCATATGGAATCTGTTTATTTACATTTTCAGGATATTTTTGAGATGCCAGTGACCGCACTGACACTTTGTGCTTCTAGTGGCTTTGCCATAGTTCAGTTCCACCAATAAAGCACAGCCCAGATGACAGCCCCCTAGCAAACCTCCAGGCATGAAGTGGGTGACCTGGCCCAAGTCTAGCTCTGCGGTTTCTTCCCCTCCCCACCTCCCTCATAATGGCAGTTACTGAGGGTATGATCTCAGGGCTGCTCATGTGACATTTCTGAATCTAGATTCTAGATGCTTCTCCTCAAGAATAAAAGCACATCTGTGGGTTGGGCTTGGCTGCAGTGCCTGGTTCACGCTGAGTGGGCTTCAGGGCCAACTTGGTTCCTACTGTCCTGTGCCCTTGAATGCTTGGAACGGGGTGTGTGTCTGATCATCTCTCTTGGAAGCTTCCTGAACCTTCCAGGCCTTGCGGTGAGGACAAACCAGTGTTTTAAATGAAACGCTGATAAAACTGTTTGCCTGCGCCCTCCGCACCTTGTTTTTTGTTGTTTTATTTTCTGTTGACAGCCTTTGCAGTGCTCTCCCACCAAAGTGCTTACTTGTAAAGATAACGAAACCATCCATGTCCGCAGCAGCCTCAGTGCAACGGAATCCAAGGGAGATGCTGGTGGTTCAGCCCTGTGGCACAGCCAGCTTCCCTGTCTGACCAGTGATCCTGGATGACTTGAGGGTCTGGAAAGGCACCACCTCATTCTCCCAGATTGAACTCCCTTCCAAAGGATGGTTCCTCTCCTTGCACAGCCATATCACAAAGGGCTTCCTGCTCAAGGGATAATAATGTTTTAGTGAGAACTGAAGTTCTACTCTGGACCGCAGTCTGTATGGACTACCACTGTAAATGCTAACTTGTTGGGAGGGATATTATTCATTAACTCCTGGCAGGTAGACTACAATTTAAATTTAGGGTTACCTCAACCTTTAGCCATTACTGCTCCTTTCCTTCCCACAACAGTCATGAAGAAAAACTCCTGCCTTCTAAGCTGCTGGGTTAAAGCAGAGGCCACTTTTCAGATCCACCCTTATTGGTTATACAGTATCTGAGAGTTTGACTCAGACCAGGGACCTCCCCAGGAGGGCCAAAGGGTAGATGAGACCCATGGCAGGTAGTTCCAGCGGATGGACCAGGCTCCAGCTGGCTAGTGGGTGGGCATAATTTGCTCAAAATAGGTATAGAAAGAGCCCACCTGTCCCACTTTGATCAGGAAAGACATAAAACCTATTCTTCCAACTAAGCCTATATGAAAATCAATTGACGAATGGACCACAACTCCAGGGTGATGTTTCTGTGCTGTGACTTCCTAATAAATTATTGCTAGAAAACTGTCTAGTTGATGATGAGGCAAAATTACATTCAGCTCCTTGTCATGTAGAGAATTTGGAGGGTGTTGCTTAAAATTTATTCCACCTGTATATTTGTCACTTTAAAATTAAAATTGAGCTGGTATGAGAGACAGATGGTTTTGTTTGCTTGTTTTTTAATTTTCTCGAGCTCCAGTGACCAGTGCCAAGTGCCAGTTTGCCTCATATTGGTCGATATAACGGAATGAAGTTTCCACTCTCACGGAGCTTATATTTTGGGGGTGGGGATAAATACAAACATCACACAATGATGACTGCAGTGAAGAAAGAGTAATGGGAAAGGGACCAGGGGAAGGCCTCTACTGGGAGCTGACCCCTGAGCAGCTACCTGAAAGCAGTGAGACCTCTAAAGGTCTGAGGAAGAAACATTCTAGGCAGAGGAAACGGCCAGGGCTATGTGGTTACAGGATGGTGAACAAGGCAAAGAGGCAGGAGAGAGAAGCGAGGGGCTACCTAAAGAGCATGGGCTTGATTCTAAGGGTTATGGGGAGTTTGGAAGAAAAGCACAGGACCTGACATGAATCACATGAAGTTATGATCAGTAAAAAGCAACAAACTTTGGAGGGTTAGCTACTTACACCTTTCCCATTACCCGAAGACCATGTCTCAAGTGGGCCGCTGAGGAGAAAACTGAGGTACACGTACCTCCAGGCAAGAGGTCAACCAGAATAAGTACAGGTTTGAGCCTGTAGACACTGTTAAGGCAGTAATACCCACCCAGCAAGTTACAGCTTCTCTAAAATTAATAGGGTGAAAAAGAGTGTGACAGGGGACATTTTTTAATCTATCAAATAGAAGAATGCCCAGAGAGGACTACAGAATGTCCCCACCCAGTCACATATCCTGTTTCCCTCAGGATCCCATTCTGAAATAGATTAGCTTTTCTCTTACAGCTTCTGCATGACTCATTCCTTGGAAGAGTGAGCCTGAATTTCTGTACTGGAAAGTTCAGTAAGTGCCTGGATGTATTCATTTCTGAGGCAGATACTCGGTTTCACATAAGGATGCTGATTTCTCTCACTGTTTTACCAGTAACAGGGCAAATGAAAACGAAGCATGTTCAAGAACATGGGTGTTTGCATTAAGAACACTTTATGTTACAGTATGAATGGCATTTCCAATAAAACATGAAAAGATTTATACTGTATCTACAAAATTTAAGCGTTTGCTACAATAAATGCTATATTTCTTTTAAACAAGCTAGAAAGGTAAGGAATGTCATGATCAATCTATACATTCTTTTTTTTTTTTTTTTTCAATCTATACATTCTTTCTGCAGCATTAGCCTGGAAGATTGATGTTTAAATTGGACAATCGTAGATGTGAATTTCCTGATCATCTCCGACAGACACAATCTTTGAGCCATTTCCATTGTATTTTACTCCCCAGACCTGTAAATAAAAAGAAAAAAAAATTCCACTAACACCTTTATTCTTTATGAATGAACATCCTTATTCTATTCTCATTATACTGAATCTAGAAAAACACTGAGATGAGGATGTTCTCGTGCTTTCTGCCTTTCCTCTAACCAGGGATCTTCTATTACTACTGTTTGATTATCATTCCACTCACCTCCCAACTCAAGAAAATTTCATTTCTAAACACAAATCAAGATATCTACAAACCTTTCAAAGATTCACAATCTAGGAAGTGACCTAATGCTGTGAAGATGGAACCCACAAGGGACCAGCATGTGGTCTCATTTATGTTTCCAGGAAGGAAAAGGCCCAACTACCCTGAGGTCGCTGCCTATGGGGATCATTGCAAACTGTGCTCCTAACCTACCTCCTCGGGCTCGCCCCCACCACGGTCAGTACTTCTCACTCTCTTATTAGAGGCCTATGAAACCTGCCTGTCCCTAGGAGCTAGATAACTTGGCCTCACACGTCATTGCTTTCATTTGCTATGTACTGAATTAACAGATTCACACCTCCTTCCCAGACAACTGATGTGGCAGGAGCTTTATCACGTCAGCCTGTCACCCTACCCCTTAGTTGGGTGTTCTAGCCCTGATTTCAGTGCTGTGATTGGGCCAGGTGATGGCCTCATTTCCACTCCAACCGTCTTCCTCTGAGGAAAGCACCACACACTGACCTTCACCTGCCAAGCAACACAGCCAGCCAGGTCTTACTCCCTGAATTAAATGTTTAAATCCAGTAGTGGAATGTCAAAATTAAACCCCCTCAACTTTGTTGGCAACAATTTAAGATTAAATGTAGAAAAGCATGAACAACTGTTAACTTTAAGCTGCATTCCAAAGAGATTCTGTGAGATTGCCATAAGAGCATTTAAAATATCTTAAAAGACAACTTTATACTGCCATGGGTATTTTATTTATTTATTTATTTATTTTTTGCGGTACGCGGGCCTCTCACTGTTGTGGCCTCTCCCGCTGCGGAGCACAGGCTCTGGACGCACAGGCTCAGCGGCCATGGCTCACAGGCCTAGCCGCTCCGCAGCATGTGGGATCTTCCCAGACTGGGGCACAAACCCGTGTCCCCTGCATCGGCAGGCGGACTCTCAACCACTGCGCCACCAGGGAAGCCCCGGGTATTTTATGTTTTATACTACTTCCCCAAGACCCTTGCTATTCAAAGTGGTTGGAACCAGCAATGCTAGCCTCACCTGGAGCTTGTGACAAACACAAAAACTGAGGCCCAGGCCAGACCCACTGAGTCAGCATCTGCAGTGTTGCCAGATCCCCAGGGGATTCCTGTGCGCATTAGAGGTGGAAAAGCCCCGCACTACAATGCCTTTATCACTTCACATTCATCTTGGAAAGGTAAGACTCCTATGAAAACAAAGCCTCTTCTCCCTAATTTAAAGACTGAAACAAAAGTTAGTAATATCACTAACTTCAAACAACCTGTAAGAATTTCTGGCTTCAAGTATATTCAAAGAAAAAAAAAAAATCACTTCACTTCTTTGGGCCACTCCAAAAGAGAAAAGTGATGGCTGTGGAATGGAATGGAAGCTTCTGAGGAAGCAGGTTCTTCTTGAGCCAGCCATGGCCCAGCTGTACCCAGAAAAGGGCCCAGGCACGCCCCAGGCACCAGCTGCAGCATGTTTCAAAGAAGGCATTTAAAGGCTGTTGGCTAGTACCCGTTTTCTGGCCTACACAGGGACATGTCATGCCTTGTAGGTTGCTAGGCTGACAGCACGTCCTGAGCCTCTGCACCCCAGAGTGCGCACAGGAACACGGGCTGGATGGACATCCAAGCAATCAGAGTAGCTCAGCCCCAAGGGTCGACTGGTCTTGACAACCCAAGCAGCAAGGTTAGGAAAAGGAATGAGTTTTGGCACAGTGGTCAGACAATGCTAGCAATCCAAAGGAATTTGAACGTTAATTATGCCATACCTGATCCTGGTGATCAAAGAAGGTGTGAACACAAGTCCTCGTTCCAACATCCCAAACTTTTACACTTTTGTCAGATGAGCTATTTTAAAAAAGGGAACATTAGTATCAGAAAAGTTCTCAGACTGGTTTGAAGTTGGAAAGAACCTGATCAAAAATCCCACACTCCTTCACTCAGCCTACCTAGAGGCCCCCTTGGTGCCTGGGTACACAAGTGGCCATCCAGAGCCCCAAAAGGTGGCCAAGGATGTTGGCATCACTGGTTGGCTTTCCCCTCTCACAGAGCAGCTATTTCCCTGAACTTCTGATCTGCCTGGCCCTCATATTAAATGTTCTCATCAGGAGTCTCGGATGAGAGTCCTATATCCAGATGGGAGGGAGGCCCGTGAAAGCTTCAAAATAAAGGTTCTCAGAGGCTTCTGTAAACCTCTGTGCAATGCTATTAAGCCATCCATCTCCTGTTTTTCAACTGTCTTGGCCATCCTGGGCCTAAACAACATTGGGGTCTCAAAGCACAACATTTTAAGAACAGATTTTCATATCTGAAGTTACTACTATAACACAGGTATCCCTTAAGTAACTGTAGGTAGAAGCCTAGATTTATAAGGAAGAACTAAGAGCTGAACTGTTCAAAAGAATCCACTTTTGTTCCAGCTAAGGACAATTAACTTCACAATTTAAAAAACACTGCAGAAAACAAAGGCTATCTGAATTAAAAAAGGGTCTTCAAATTTTAAGGCAATTCATACAAGATGACCATCTTCATCTTCCTAACATTTTAGAAACTGATAAGAATCATAAGTACCTGGAAACAAAGTGTGTGTCATCAGGACAAAATGCAACGTTCAGCACCCAGGATGCGTGGCCACTCAATGTGCCAGCCAAGTTAGCGTGCTGTCTGAAATGGGAGTTTCGAATAAAATGGAGAGGTTAGCTTTTGGAATACAATCACTGAAATGGAAGGTATACTCTTAATTGCCTGTTTCATTGGACCAAATCTGCTATCCTTATAATCACCACAGTATTAGTTTAAAAATTCCCTTTTCAATGAAGTAGCATCACACACTGCAGAAACGAAATTTTCAACAGCATTAACCCCAAATATGTCAATGTCACCAAGAGCCAAAAATAAAATCCCGAACAAGCAGAGCTTAAAAAGCTCAAAATGAAGACGGCTCAGCAAGCCAACTCCTAAGATGAGGAAACAGAACCAGCAGGGGCAAGTAGGCCATCTCAGGGCAGTTGCAGGTTCTGACCCCTGCCCACCCAGTACCCTTTCCACATAGGGCCAGTGCCTTGTGTCTAAGGAATGTTTCAAGATGTACTCTTTACAACAGATGTGGCTTGGATAGACCATTTTTAAGCTAACCAAGAACAAGACAGGTCTGATTACTACAGTCATTTTCACTTTTTAAAAAAGTGAAATGAAATCACTTATGGCTGGAAAACAATCCTAAGACCCGACTGAGGCCAGCAGTTTCACCTCTGAACCCAGAAGAGTAGAGCAAACCTCAGTTAGGTACGCGGAGGAGAGGTGGCCTCAGCTTGGGCCTGTCGCCTGCATTATGGGGAGGCTGATCCGCGCTACCTCACCGGTTGCTGGGCGGATGATGGAATGGTAGCACTGAAGGCCTTATTAAAGAAAACTGGATACTTAAAGAATTGCTGTTATTTATATTGGCTCTGCTACTGACAGGCAAGCACAGTTTGAGAGAGGCATCTTCCCCCCAGACCCTAGC